ACTCTCCACACTCGTTATTGGATACTGTGTGATGTTTCAAAACTAGGAGCAGATGATTTGGAAAGGGATTCCTAGGTGGATGCAGTTCAGATATAGCTGAACTTTCTAGACCTGACACAACAGAGATTAGAAAATACATTTAAAGAGATACTTCTGAAAGGGCTTTTTGTGTCTTTAAGACAGTCCTGTACACATGAGGTTGAGATAACCAAAATACTTTTGCAAGAGGAGGGGTAAAACACAATCTCATAGAAGGCACTTGGTGGCCATCAAGTAATGGCTTGTGGTCAGCAGTGACCCAGGCCACAGCTGGAAACGTGCCCTGTCACCTCAGGGTGCAAGGTCTCGTGTCCCCTCACTGGTGACCCCTCACAGTCTGCTCTGTGTGCCCACAGGCTCTGAATTCAGCATGGCTGGGGAGGCACTGTGTGTGTGTCTCTTGCTGGTCTGGCTCAAGCAGAGGAGCAAAGAGCTCCCTGTAAGCAGAGGTGCCTTGTGTGCATTGGCTTTGTCCCCCACAGGGTGAGGAGGCCGTGCCCAGGCGCTGGTGGCTGTACCCTTCCCTTCCAGGAGCAGCTCTGTTACCCTGCTGCTGGTGCCCCCTCTGCTGTGTCCCTGCTGCCCTTCCAGGCACTGTGCACAGGCAAACACCCGGCTGTGGGTGCTGTGTGCCCCTGTGCTGTGGGCAGTGCTGCAGGTGGCAGTGTGACCCCAGAGGGCATGGCTGCTGCCTCGCCTGCCTGTGCTGCTGAGGGCACAGCTCTCCCGCTGCCAGGCCTGAGACCCCAAATCACCATCTGCACTCCTCCGTCCCCTGTCTGAGAGCTTGTTCCGTGGTGGCACAGTGGGACACCAGCTGAGCAATGCCTCTCTCAGGGAGAGTTGCCCTCTGACATCCAAAAGTAGCCACAGGGCTTGGGGAAAGGTTTGCCCAAGTGAAATTTTCCATTGCTGTTTCCCCTGCTTCAGTGACAGCTGTCCAGAAAAGCAACCAGCAGAGCTTGTGGTGCTATTTTATTATGTTCACAAACTAAACCAGAAACCATGGGAAATTAGGTTTATTGAGAGCACCACCAGCTTTATTATTTGCTCCTGTTTTTTCAGAAAGGAAAACTGGAGTTTGCTAGAAACATCTAGGTACATGTGTACACACCACATGCTCCTGAAAATTGGTGTATAGTAATCAGGGTTTTTTCTTCAATTTTAAAAAGAAATCCGTCCTCTAGGAATGAAACACTAGATCAAGCATCAGGGTTAACACCTGAGCTTACTATAATCTTGACTTTTAGACTGACTGAGTAATGTTGTTCATATCACAGATAGGCAAAACATCCTCTTCACTGCCTCGACCTAAAGATGCAATTAGTGCATTTTCACAGGGGACGGGGTCCTGTTCACACCCCTGGCAGGGCAGAACTAATCCCACTGTGCTGCACCCAGCTGGGGCTGCAGAAAAGAGTCAGCAGACCCCGGAGCTGCAGAGGTGGGAGCTCACTGATGCACCGTGCCCAGGCAGCTGGGCCCGTTGCCATGTACAGACCTTACAGGGTCTGGCAAGTTTGCTTGCCCAGATCCCTCGGGTGACTTAGAAGGAACAAAGGGAGGCAAAAATAGATTGATGTGTCAGGAGAATTGCAAGTGTCAAAAATATCTGTTGCTCAGGGCAGAGGAAGATGGAAGTGAGTGGGAGAGGCCAGAGTTCAGGACTGGATTTATAAGGCTGCTTCTGGAACTGATAATATTACATTGTCATATCTGCACGTGTGTTGCCAGAGTCAGGGTGACTCTTCCTTTATCCTCTGCTTTTCTCTTTTCTTAACAAGATTTTCTCAAAGGCTTTTTTCAAAAGGCATCACACGGAGCATTGCTCAGTGGGGGCACCCTGGAGACAAAGCACAGGGCTGCCTGCAGCAGGGAGTGAGGGCAGGTGTGTCCTGGGGGAGGTGCTCACCTCTAGGGAGCACAGCACCCTGCAAAGCACCGAAATTCAGTGTCTGTGCTGTGGGAGAGGTCCTCTCACAGTGCTCAAGGGCAGGGGAACAAGAAGGACATCAGTGCAAATTACTGTTATTATCTTCTGCTGTGTAAGATAAAAGAGAGATGGAGTGTGTGATAAATCGCTGTGAAGACAGGCTCTGGTGTTTTATCCAAAAAAACCATTTCAGTGGATGTCTCTGGGGCCTGACCTCAGTGGACATTAGGGGAGGAGCTGGCCCTGGGGTAGGACGTGGCCTGAGCAGGCACAGCTGCTCTGCCTGGGCGTGACCTGGCTCAGGCTGCTGTCAGAGAGCCTGGCAGCCCCACCTTGCCAGCCCTTGCCTGTGAGCTGGCCAGTGTCTGTGCCTGCTCTGGAGCTACTCTCCTCATGGAGCAGATTTTATCCCGTGGTGTACATTTGTTCTCTGGCAAGCTGGAAGCTACAATTTATTATTAAAATTGATTGGCTCCAGTGCAGGGAAAACGATCACAAGGAAACCCTATTACAGTTTTTCATTATCACTGTTATTTATTTTTAAGTGCTATTAATATTCCTGGGCCTGGACTAGGCAGAAGATGAGAGGTGGTATCCACCCCTGCTGCTCACAACCTGAGGCCTGGCAGTGCAAGGGCTCTTGGAACAATCGAGTGTGTTGGGAAATTTTTGCCCTCAATCTACCTCTGGCAAACGCTAATGGAAGTAGAGCTGAAAATATTTGCAAAAAAACTAAAATGGCCTTATTTGTATCATAGACTGGATAGATTTTTTTTTCTCCCTAGTAATGTGCATTTTTTCTTACCTCTGTGATGTCACAGGCTTATTTGTATCATAGACTGGATAGGTTTTTTTTTTTCTCTCTAGTAATGTGCATTTTTTCTTACCTCTGTGATGTCACTAGCATTTATTAAGAGGGTTTTAATACAATTGAAGTTGAGGAACAAGGTATGTTTTAAGTAAGTTCAGTAAGACAATGCGTTATGCAAGCTAATTTCCCAATGATGGTTGTTTTTTTGTTATTCCCTACTATTTCAGAGAGCTCATGTAGCAGCTTGTGATCGAAGCCCCAGAGGCTCACATCACTAATTGAGCTGGCTTTGTACCTACTGCTGTGGCTGTCATTTGTGATGTGGTGATTCACACTGAAGCATTGCACAGCACTGACTTGGATCACGCTGTCTGTGCCATTAGGATTTTGTGACAAATTATGATCTGGACGGAGTATCTAGGCAGAAGATGGAATTTGTGTAGTCTTTGAAAAAGGAAGGGGTAAAGCAGCATGAGCAGAAATGAAGCACAGCAAATGTTGTCTGCACCTGGTTTGTCTGCTTTTCTGCCTGAGCCTGTTAGCAGGGGCAGTCAGAGCTGGAGGCTGAGGCTGTTGCAAAGCTGAGCTCTGCAGCTGCTTTTCCAGGAATTTCTGATTATCAAGTGGTCAGACATGTATAAAAGACTGAGATGCTGTTGGTATCCTCATTCTGAATATTTGTCAGTAAATAACAGACTATTCTTGCAGCAGCATTTTTAACCCTTGATTTGCCTATGTTAGCCTCCAGCGGGGATGCAGATTATTTCAGCAGGAACCAACCCCACAGTGAATTCAGCAGTTTGGCTTCAGCAGGGGCTCGCGTGCATCAGGAAACCTGGTTTTTAGCCCAGAAGCTCCACGGTGCTTTAGAGGTCAGGATGTAACTTCAAAGCGTTCTTCAAAGGTTTTCAGATAAAAATACCTGTAGGAGACATGAGCTTGGCAGCCCAGTCTATTTGATTGATGTGTGATTTCTTGTGAAAGAGTATGTGGCTGGAATATATATTGTTAGGGACCTTTTCAAAAGCCTCTCCTCAAAGGGGACTGAGCCACCAGTGTCTTGGTCCCTGCCTGGGCCAGCAGAAGGAGCCTTCACAGCTCCTGGCTCCTGATCTGTGCAGTTCCTCAAATACAAAAGGTGGATGACTATTTTTATACTTCCCACGAGCAATGAAACCTTCATGCCAGGGCTTGCTCTTGGTAATAACAGAAGTTGTAGAAAGGACCTTTGCAAAGCAATTTGTTGTTTTCATTCCAATAATCATGGTGTAAGTAGAGATACTGCACAAAATTCTTCATGTGGTCAGTACTGATCTCCACAGAAGCCAGGACTAGACAGACCAAGAGAAGGAACATTCATATTACCTCCAGAAACACATCTCTCAATCAGAATTAAAGGACATTGTTAGAGAATGAAGGGAAACAGAGAGCTTCAGACCATTTTGAAAGTGAGACAGAGGAATCTGCCCTCCCAAGGAAGCTTTTATCCTAGCAAAATGCTAAGATGAGCTGGCAGACAGTTGGAGGCTGACAGAGGGATCTGGGAGTCTCCCTCACATCCCATCAGATCCTGCCTGGAAGGTGATCTGGGAGGCAGATTTCAAATTGCTAGCACTCTTTATTAATGTAGAGCAAAATAACGTTCTCAAAGGGAAAGAAGGGATGATAGATGAAATAAGGAGCAATTCTATAAAGAAGATTTTCTATACCATTGTTTTTCATGACAAAACATGTTTTATTTTGTTTAGAATACATTTGGCCTGTAAGACTGTAGTAGCATCCTGCTTTCCCACAGTTCCTTATTTCTCAGTCAACAAAGAGCTATAGAAATGGATTGAAAGCAACTAATAATGGTGGACAGTATAACCAAAGTTAACTTTAGAGTTCAAAATTCCAATCTACCAATCCAATTATTGAAATTCCACTCAACCTCCTAGAGATATTAAATAGTTAAATTCTCAGCACTAATGGGTAGTATCAAAATGTAAGCTCCCAGTAATAGCATTTGCTGAGTTTTAACAGACAACAACAAAGGTATTTTCTAACTTTTATTCCTTATACTTGTAATAGTTTATAATGAGTTAGAGATTTAAATGTCCCACATCCTGTCCAAATTCAGAAGCCGACATGACCAGTCTTTTTCCCTAATCTGCCCTGCACTGTGCTCCCACACACTCCTCTGCCAGCCCTCTCTAACTGTGCTCCCCTTTCTTGCAGCGTGCAAGAGGAAAGAACAAGAACACGGCAAGGATAGAGGGAATACACCCAAGAAGCCTCGGCTGGTCTTCACTGACGTCCAGCGTCGAACTCTACATGCAATATTCAAGGAAAATAAGCGTCCGTCCAAAGAATTACAAATCACCATTTCCCAGCAGCTCGGGTTGGAGCTGAGCACCGTCAGCAACTTTTTCATGAATGCACGGAGGAGGAGTCTGGATAAGTGGCAAGACGAGGGCAGCTCCAATTCAGGCAACTCATCTTCTTCATCAAGCACTTGTACCAAAGCATGAAGGAATAACCACGAACTAAAACCTCGGTGGAAAAGCTTTAAAAATAAATAAATAAATAAATAAAGACAGACCAGGACCTCAAAATAGCAGGTTTATACTTAAAACTATTTGAAAAAAAAATATTTATAAGTCCAAAGAAACCAAAGACTTATTTCACCTGCATTATGACTTTGTTCTAAGACACACACTTTAGTAGGATGACGACTTGCAAAAAACAGAGAGGAAGAAGGAAGCGAAATGGAGGGAACGGAACGGAAAGCAAAGAGAAGAGGAACAGACCACTGGTCTTACACCTTTGCCCATTATCATCTTCACCGTACTTGGCTGTTTAGTGGTTTGGAGCATAGTGATTTCCTGTCATTGAGCAGACATCTCTTTGGATACAGCTCTTCACGTCCACAGCACTTGCCATGGAGGTGTCAGTGTGTCCGTACTGCGTGCACGCCAGTGGGTAGGGACTTAGGGCTGGTCTCCAGAGAGGGCTGTGCCAGGGCACGGCCCGCAGAGCGTGGAGTCGTCTGAATTCCTTGGAACGGTAGTGTGATTGTTGCTGTTTCACTGTTTGAACTTGGCTGGTGCAATGCCTTGAAACGAGTTCAAACTAGGCAAAGAAATTTTGAATGGTACCTAAACCAGTGCATTCTCTTTGTTTGTTAAGGAATGTTCAGATTTAAAAAAGGAAAACTATTCCATCCATAAAAAAATCGACTAGCTACCAAAGAACACATTTAATAATTGTATTGCAGGTATTTTATTGCAATGATTTTAATATTCCAAAGCTATTTTTACACAAATACTATGTAGAGTTATAGGTATAAACTAATCTAACTGTATAACACATAAAACTTGTAATCAAGACTGTTATTTGCGATTAGTAAAACCACACTATCGTTTCTTTCTGTGATTGGCAAGAAAGAATGTCACCCGAGGAGATCACAGCCCCTGGCAGAGCACGGGCACCGAGCACGGGATGCTGCTTCCATTGAACTCAGTGAGCCCTTTCCTCACTGCCTTCAACGGGAGCACAAGGAGGAGCCGCGTGTGACACTGTGTGTGACACTGTGTGTGACACTGTCCCCGGCTGCAGCCCGGGCGCTGTGTTCCAGAGTGGCTCAGCTCTGCCATCTAGCCTGCGAACAGGAGACCTGAGGCACTCAGGATGCAAAAATTGAAACGAATCGAGGGATGCAAAACCACAGGGCTCAGCGTCTGATCAATACTCATTGACATTAGCGAGCTTTTTTTTACCTATCGACTTTACCAGGCAAAGGAATAGTAACAGCTTTGACGGCTCGTGGTCCTTTCCTCCTGGAAACAGTGGTACAACATCAGTTAACGTGGGGGGAGCTCCAGGAGTGCTTTTGGAAGGAGGAATTGTGATCTCTCTGAAGTCAAGAGCAAAATTCCCGTGACACTGAGATACAGCCCGATGTTTTGTGGCTCTGTATCCGTGTGCAGCAGGCTGAGCTTTTGTGCCGTGCATTCTTTCTTGCTCATCTATTAGTCAGGATAATGCATGAAATAGTTTGAAGTTTGTAGCTGAAAAGCTTTAAACGCTCTGTTGCTAACAGACCCATAGGAGAGAAATCATCCCGTTCCTACTCTGATAAAACTAAAGAGAAAAGCGTGAAATATCTGCATATTAAATTATAATGTAAGGGGAAAATAGAATTTAAAAACCATACATGTGCCTGTTAGATTTCTAACTGGTATTTCAAATTACTGTAGTAATTATGCTAGGTATATTAAATTCCAAAATAAGCAAATATGCAGGTATAGGCCCAATGCAAGGACTAGAAATAGGTAATCTTACTTCCAACCTTTTTGTTTTTAAGGAAAAAAAAAAAAAAAACGACAAAGGAAAATTCAAGGTAAACTAGAATCCAAACACTATAAACAGTAGCAGATACTGGTTGGGGGATGAAGCCCACTCAAAATACCAGTGACACCAAAGTAGAGCAACTTTTGTAGCACCAGTTGTTTCCCAAGAGGACAGGGTCTAGTCAAGGTTCAGGGTATACAGTTTATTTCCCCCCAGTGTTTAGAATACAGGTGAAATATCTCTTTATTAAAATAAAGTGAAATAAACCCAATATTTTTGGCACTGAATATTTCTCCGTATTTCAGTATGTTAAATCCACTTTAAAGCTGACAACGCAATTGTCTATGAAAATGGCATCTAATCTGGACTTTTTTGAGTCTCTAGCTTACCTTAAATTTTAGCAAGCTTTCTTTTGAAGTGTTCCATCCCCATGGAGACATAATTGACATGGAAACATTGATAAGCTCACATATAAAGTACCTTATGAATGCAGTCTCATTAGTGTAAGGTTAATAAAGGACAGTGATAAGTAATGGTTTAGTTTTTTCCAGCAAAACTCTGCTTTGTAACGTACCTATAGTTTAGAGAATAAAGCCTTATTTATTTAAAACTTGAGAATTTAAAATTGCAGGGAAATTCAAAGTACATTGCCGCATTTTTAGTATTTCCATTGTGTTGTCTTTATAGACTACTTGCTGAAACCAAAGAGAACTTTCATACCAGCATTAAATTTGCACCCAATATGCAATTTCAGGCTCTGTGATACACACACATGCAAGCCCCTAAACAGGACTGTGTATATGTACATGCACACACATTTTGATGGCGTGTATGTATGTATACACGTGCACACACGTGTCCACACACACCAAAACTGATGCACAAGTTGTAGATTTTAAGTGTTTTGGGTTTTTTACATGTCTGTTTAAGTAGGTATAAACCTTTTGGTTTTCTCTAAGCCATTAGGAACAAACCACTCTTCCCACGAGCAATATGCACCTCATACTCTGAATAGGCAAAGAACACAATTTCCTTCAATTTCCTTCAAAACATGAAGCAAATAACTCTGGAACTGCTCAGTCTACCTGGAAAGCTGTGTTACCTCTGAGCAGACTGCCCCGCCACACCGACTGAAGCACGGACAGGTTACCTGGTGCTCCCTCGCTCTGACTGGTGCCATGACTCAACAGGGCATTCTCGAAGGGGAGTTTCCTCTGATGCTGCATTTAACATTACCCAGGAAACCTGTCTCTGCCTCTTAGTGTCAGTATTTCAGCTCACTTAATTCCTGACAAAACGGATATTAGTTTCAAATTCGACAAGAGGATCTAAAATTCTGCCAGGAAGGATTAGGAGAGGGAGCAGAACCCAAAACAGTTTGGGAGCATCAGGAGATGGGGCTTCAGTCAAAGGTGACTCCAAGGGCATTAGGAACATGCATTCAGCTCACAGGCTGCATCCAAACATGACCGCAGTGACCCATGGGGGGAGGCTGGCCAAGAGGTGAACTGTCCTCATCCATCCCCATTGTAAATGGCATCATTAGATTTCTAGGAAAAAACCAAAATAAACTAAAAAAAAAAAAAAAAAAAGTCCTCCTTCAGCCTGCCCCAGAGCGCTCCTTCAGCCCTGCGTGGCTCTCCAGGGCCGCAGCCTCCTCTCCTTACTCAGGTAAAGCAAACCCCACCAGAGCCAGCCAGCAACGGGGCTGCTGCTTGAGAGCTTGCTCCTGCACAGCCCAGGCCAGGAGCAAATTCCCAAGCAGCCGGGGTGGCCTGGCATGAGAGCAGCCCCAGGGCTGCCCGTGGGCACCGTGCTGCTCCTGGATTCCAGGAGAGGGCCGGTGGAGGTGGGCACTGCCCCAGGGCTGCTGCTGCCCCCAGGGCTCGCAGACACTGCTGAGCTTATACCAAAGAGTCTTAGGACACCTCTCCTCACCTGAGTTGTAAACAGGACATTTTTACCCCAAAAACGTTCCTTCTTTCTACTACTCTTCCTCCTATCCTCCTCCTCTTCCTCCTCCTTTGTACATAGGGATGAAAACTATGCATTTAGCAAACAAAGAGAAAGCACTTACCCTTTTCTATCTCACTGCGTTTGGGTGCATTCAAAGGCCCAGGGGCTAATTTTGAGACTTTGCTTAGCCTCCTGGTTTATTATTGTGGTGTGGTTAGCTTTACAATACATTTGGTAACTATTTGCTAAAGACAAAGAAGCAAAAGGTAAGGAATAGCTACTTCCACGTGTTAAAAAAAAAAAAAAAAAAGAAAAAAAAAGAAAAAAAAGTGTGTAAAGATCTACTATTTATAGTGTGAACCAAAGACGCTACCTCACTCGATTTCCATTGGTGATTTTAATCACATTGATGATACCAAAGAATACCAAAGATTTTTCATGCACGGCCTTGGTCTGGAAAGGGAACTCATCCTCCTTCTTACCCCCATCCCCTGACCCCCTTCCTCACCTTCACTCAGTGTGTAACCTTGTCTTCTTTCTTAGTGGTAATGCTAATAACCTTATGAATACTTCTCTTGCTACAACTGCTACTACTGACGATGATAAGGATAATAATAATAATAATAATAAAGCTCTTGGCAAACATGTTGCAAACTTTGTAAACTCATAGGACGAGTGCCTTGCTTGAACCAAAGTGTTAAACCGCTGTTGACCTCTTTATCTCTCACCTTATACTCTTTGAATACCTCAGCCTGTTAGAAAGGCCACTAATGAAAAAAAGGAATAATTCTTCACCGTGGTGCTTTTTGCCGTGCAACCATGCAATGAAACTTTCTTTGATACCAAAGGAAAATGTTTTTTTCCACTTTCTTGCTGACAAACCAAAGGTTCCCTCCTCTTTCCCCCAAAGCAGCTTGAGTCCCTCAGCCCAGACAGGCCGTGCATCACTTTTACCAATTCCTCCAAATACCTCATAGTAATAAATCTTTAGGGTTATGTTGTATAGAGAGTCTATGTGATAAGGCAGAACTTACTAGTTTGATAATTGTTAAGGTTACTTAAAAAAAAGCTTTATAATTCTTATTTATTTTGTAGGGGTTGTTTTGTTTGTATATTCCTTTTATATTGTTTGGATTGGGTTTGGGCTTCTTCTTTTTTTCCTTTTTTTTTTTTGGCAGAACTTCTCTGTTATACTCAAGGAAGATCTTATTCCTGGGAATGT